ACGCCGGGCGCGTGTGCGTGCGTGCCCAAGATCCTGAGAGGAGAATGGAGGAGAAGGGATTGCGGCGTGACTATCCCCTCTGGAGGGTGATTTTTCGCTTTCTGTCTCTGTCTCTCTCTGTCTGTCTGGCGAGCGCACGCGCCCTATAGTGAAAACCTCTCAAAAAAAAAAAATTAATCTTAATTTATTAGTACTCAAAAAAAGAATGCCACGACCTACAACTCAACAGGAAAATTATCAAAAAATATGAAGCAAGTATTCAGAAAAGGAAATAGAAATGTGGCTTTTTAAACAATAATGTATATAGTTTCCTCTTTCCTCATTCTTTCACCCACACTGTGCCCTGGCAAAAGATGGACTCCCATTTTAATTTTTTGCTATAGGGCGCGTGCGCTCACCATAGAGACAGAAAGCGAGAAATCACCCCCCAGGGGGGGATGGTCACACCGCAATCCCTTCTCCTCCATTCTCCTCTCGGGATCTTGGGCACGCATGCACACGTGCGCAGCGTGAGTTTTAAGCCACTGGGTCCGGGATGTGAACTGCGGTCGACTACGTGGGAGTCCAGCGACATAGCCATTATGCTAACTGCTGGTTCCCCACAGTATAACATTTCTCACATCGACAGCTCGGACTACACAGTGTGGGAGAGGGTGTGAGTACTCAAGCATTCCTGGTGGAAAATTGGTTTAACTACTAAGGAGTCCAGTTGAGACGGAGACTGGGAAGGGGCACGAGAGACAGGTCTGGGGTGTTGGCAATGCTCTGCATTTCCATAGAGATTAGGGTTCCAGAGCTGCAGGCGCATGCTGAAATGACTTTACAGCAGAGCAAGATGGATAGATAATGAACAAGCGAGTGGAGTAAAACATCAATAGAAGAATCTAGGAGTGGCAACATCGATGTTTAGTATCAAATTCTTCCAATTTTCCTGTATGCCTAAAAACTCTCATGGACTATTGGGCGAGAGGCCAGCAGGTGGCATAGTGGTTGAGGCACTGGACTCCCACATGGCCAATCGTGGTTCGAGTCCTGAACCTGGCAGCTTGCTTTCTCACTTTCCTTCTCTCTCTCTGTTTTTCCCTGGTGATTGCATGTGCCCCATAACAAATTTAAAACAAAACAAAATAATAATAAA